GGTTCAGGGTCTTTCATCTTTCAGCTGCCTGCGTGCATGTTGGAGGGGCAAGATACCTGAGCGTGTAATGTTAATTTTTACCTGTGTTCATTGAATAAATCAGCACTGTTTTGAAGTTACTTGGACTGCTTCGTCTCTCAGAGTTAGCATGGTTAAAAGAACCGGGTACAACAGTCTTTTGTTTTTAAGATGTGGCTGCGGTTATTAACATCCACAATCTGTTGAGTTTTTATTTGTAACGTTGAAACTTAGTGCATTTATCAGTTTTTATTCATGCTAATTAAGTTCTACTAGCACTGGCGAAACGTCACCTTAGCTAGCTAATTGATGCTAACGTTAGTCTCCAACATTTGACTGTATTTTAGTCAGCTAACGCTAACTGTTAGGCCTAAATATAGGTTTTAATCAGTAGTTACCAGTGACATTTTGTGTATTATATTTTCAGAAGCTACTGTGACTGCCTTAAAAAGTCATACGCCCCTGGCTAAGGAACGCGGAATGGCTTCTCCTATGGAGTCAGCCGCAATGCATCCTGGGTTTAAGGTAAGAATTTGTTATGGCAGGCGTTTTTACAATAAAAATCAAGATGTAACTATTAATAAGAATGATGTCTCTGTTACAATTAGTGGGCATGCACAATAGCAGGGCCTTCAGACTGATTATTAATACTACACCTAACGCCACACCTGCATTTCCTGCCATGTATGTGGCTCCATCCAAGCAAGTGAAACAAAACTAACGGGACAGTGAGACAGTCCCACACAGTCCTGAGAAAATGTTTGTCCTTTAGTCTAGCTGGACTATTTCTAGTGACTGCTACACTGAACCCTGATGGAAGATGGATTACCAGTTAGGTTAACTTTAAGGAAGCAACTGTATCACAGGCCCGTGACTGTCTCTGTCACAATGACTTTGTGGTAATACGATAAATAATAATGGTTGAGAAACATATCAAGATAGCTAGAAGAATTCTATGACTTGACTGTGGTAGAGCAGTTGCCTCCCAGCTGGAAGGCTGTGGGTTTGAATCACAAAATCCTTGTGTGTGTGATGTACTTGGGCAAGTAAAATCATTATCAGTTATTATCACGATAACTGCTACGACTATCTTTTGCATACTTTCCGTGGTGGACTTACTCCACTTATGTTCCTTCTTCTTTATAAGCAACTAGTGACATAGCATCTACCTCTTCCTAAAACAGTAACAAACCATGCGCAATTGTACACTGCAAATTGTCATACACATACTGACAATGATGATTTTTGGTTTATTATCACAGAGGTTTTATAACTCCTACTTTGTCTTTGTATGACTTGCAAGATTTAATGGTGTGGGCTGTATTAATAGTAAGACTTGGATTTGTAGTGCTCGACCACAGCCAGAGCAGTAATACCATTCATTTGGCATTGTGTTTTATTCACATGCTTAATGTATGTCCACTTCCTGCAGCTCTGTTTTTGGTCTCCACCGACTGCTGAAATAATACATACTGTAGCTGTTTAGTTGCAAGGCATCGCCCTTTCTTCTCCAGCACTTGGTGATGAGGAGGTGGTTTTATCAGTGTGGTTTTGAGTGTTTAACTGGAAACAGCTGCTGATGCTGCTGAAAATGGTGATGGTGAGACTGTAGCATAAATGTGCAGTAAAATGAAAACTATCTTCAAACCGTAGTGGGCAGCAATTGCAGCAAAACAAAAGCTCCAAGTTTTGCTTTTGTTTTAGGCTGATAGGATGCACATTTGTTTCACAATGTTTGCCAACTGCTGAGGCTGAGCAGATTTGTGGTTGACACCTTTATAATAATGAAAATGCCAATTACTGACAGCTCAGATCCAGATAACATTAAAGTATAGCAGCTTTCCTGGATCTTGTTAACACCAGTAGGCAACTGTGACTGACAGTTACTGTGAAAAACGATGTGTGAAATGTGAATACCCTACTGCCAGTGTAGTTTCTTTGAATAAAAGAAGCAAAGAAGATTCATTTGTTTCCAAGTGGAAACTAAAGAAATGTGAGATGTGACTATCCAACATGGAAGATTTTTCATGTATTCAAAAAAACAAACAAAAAAAAAACAGAATTTCTTAAAGTGGACCAGTTATTCAAATATTCCGATATTCGTTTGTTGGTTAGCTAAGCAGTTTTCAATTTTATTATTTGAATATTCGAGATGGCAGGAAATTTCTTTGTGTTCTGAGTCCAGTGATGAAGAAGAAAGAGAACCCAATGTGGACAGTTTGGTCCACTAGCTGCTTCTCACATGAAGCGTACGCATTGCTCAGATAGAAAGACCAGATATCCTAAATCTAAATGGTGACTTTCTTACCTGGAAAAAATATCAAAATGTAATAAAGCTCCCCTATCAATAAGCAAAACACGGTTAAAACCTAAACAATGCCTCTTTACTGTAGAAGGGCTGACAGACAACGAGCTACAACCTAATGTTTATCAAGACGAGCCATTTTGATGAAATATCGTATGTTCAGCGGCTGTGAGACGGTTGCTTAGAGGGCTGTGCCGCACCAAAACAAGTTACTACAAAACTATTCATTAGCTTCGAAAGTGTTATGGTTTAACCAACAGGAGACCAATGATGGGTTAAGTGATTTTGGTGACACTAGGCGACCCTAAGAATGAATATTTTTGTATTATTTCTTTTTGATGTTGCACTTTGTAGACGGTCCCTAAGCCTTGTCTTGTTTATTGTTGTGGGTACGTCTGAATGAGGCCCTGAGGAACATAGGGTAAACATGCCCTACGTATGAGTGAAAGAAAGAAACAGGCTGGTGAAGCAGCAGTTGTACCTATCTCATGTATGAAAACTAACAAAGCAGTCAGGCATTCAGTGCACTCTACTCACCATGAACTCTTTTCCTATTCTAACGGTGAAAGTCGGGAAATGTAAATGTGTGGTTTCCATTGTTGGTAGACAGATGGGTTTCACTTTTAGAGGCTGGTGTAGTGGCCTAAACATAGTGGTAGTGGCAGAGGTCATTTGATGAGGGCTGCACCGTCTGCAGTTGAGTGTGCAGCCCTCATACTCATTGACGTATGAGTTGCGCACAACTTAACATGAAGTTCTCCAGGACCTTTTCATCTACTTTTGCAAAATAAAGTCTTCACTGAAATCCTTAATTTGGTTTTCTCTTGAAATTGAGGGGAAATGAAACAAAGTCTGCTTCTTTGTCTGTAGGTGAAAGGAAGATAAGCCTGGGCATCTCAGACAGTTGTACAAAGATATTTTAGACCTGTCTGTAGTGTTAGGCCAGTCTTAATTTTGCTACCAAGGATCAGTAGTAGAGATGCACCGATTGCAGATTTTTAAGTCTGACCTTCTGATTCCGATTTTCTTTCTTTCTGTAATCGACAGCATACACAGACATTTTTCTAACCTTTCGTTAATGAAAAAGTGTAATTAAAAAATTATTAAAGTTTTACATTTTCCATCTTTCACTCATTTGTACTTCTCCAAATATAAACAGGTGCAACAGGTAGTAGAAACAGAAGAATGCCTGCTACTACTGAGCACGGAGTTCTTTTTGAAGTGTGTGTAGCTTGTATTTACTGTGTTTCACCACGGGTTGGATTCTCTGTACATATGCATACATCTCCTGTGTAGCCAGTGATTCCCTCGTTGTGCGTTGTTTGTCGGAGGTTTTGGATGTAATTTTTCTTCTCCAAGTCGTTTCTGTAGCTCGTCTGTGTGCTGTTTGTGCACCAAGCACTTCCAATGCACGAGTGGACACGCACCCGGTACAGACACGAGCGTGTGCCTTGCTCAAGGTGCACGCAAGACGCTATGCGCTGAACATGCTATGTGTTTTGGTCTGTGCCACTGCACAGGCAATGTGGGCTGTCTCTAAATCTGATTGACACAGAATCGGAAATCTCATAGTGATCGGCCGGTCACGCTGAAAACTGGACATTTCTGATCTCCGCCAATCGATGTGTACATCTCAAATAGAGATATACCTTAACACAGAGAACATTGTTTGCTCTGCCACAGGTCAGCACCACAGTGAGATGTAATACTACTTCAAGTCTTTGCTGGATTTCCCCAGTAAATTGTCCTGTAACTGCTGAATTCTTCAAGAGGACAAACATTTTTTGCTGTGATGAACAGAGCTGAATAGGTCAGCCATGGTTTTAAGATTGAAAGACTCAGTTTACCCAGAATTCATGGCAAATTAGTCCTGCTAATCTAGTCTACTTGCACAAAATAGACAGCTCTGTGATGACTTTAGATGTCTGTGTGAAAGTGGCCCTGACCTCACTGCTGGGCTGGCTTCATATGTGTAGTCAGGACAGCAGAGGCTTAATCCGAAATCTCTTCCACACTACCTTAATCTATTTTTTTCACACTAATAATAAATACAGTTGTTGTGGAAAAATATCTTTTAAAACTCAGTGAGTGTATGTAAGAAGGTGCCAGAACCACCAGACACAACGGCTAAGCACCCCAGCCCAGCCCAGCTCACTCACTCACTCACACACCTTGATTAAGTGAGACTGTGTTGAAACAACACAGCAGCGAAGTGTGAACCAAGCGCCACTTCCTGCTGCTCCGATGAAATACACAGAACACACCATGACACACCAGAGAGTACACACACGAGCTAACGAGCTTAGCCGACGTTGGACCAGCGATGGAATGCTCTTACGTCAGGATCAAGCTGTTGCCATGGACAAAATAGATATGTTTTTCTTTTCTGGTGTCATTGTTAAAAAAAAAACTGTGTACATCTGCTGTGTACTGGAGTGATTACCTTTACTTTCTCACTGTCAGGCTCATAGCTTCACAGTTACAGCTGTATGACATTTCTCTGGCCAAGGATAATAATGATGAATGTAAAGATATGGGCCCTTTGTGAAAAGATGCATGCAAAGCATCAGCTAAAGAACTTAAGGGGTGCTATTATAAAAATTGCCACCACACAGTATGCAGACTTGTCAGTGTTGCTCATAATTGATGCATTTTTTGTGCAAAACCAGTTCCAGGATTAAGCTTTATCAGATGTCACACCAGTTTGTTGTTGAGATGGTGTGAAGGATCGGTTTTGTAAAAATATTTGCATGTGTGCATGACTCAGCTAATACAGGAGCATTTTCCTTCTCTATTTCTAGCTTTTTTTTTTCCTCTTCAGATACTTTCAGGTCATTGTGGCCTCAGAAATCCTGACATCTTTATTTTTGGTTATAATTAAATATGTAAATGTATAATGAGCTACTCTTGTTTCAATCAGTAGTTAGCTGTTTACACAGATAAAAAATTTAAACTTAAAAGAGTGTTAAGAATCAGGATCACCCATCTTGTTGTTGTTTGTGGTCTGCTGATAGAAACATAATTTAAAAAAAGAGTCCAGATGATTTATTATTCATTCAAGTGCCACCTGAGGCCAGCTTTAATCTCTGACTTATTTTATTTTCTGCACATCAGTCCTCTGGGTATGTCAGCACAGCCAATCTGAAATGGTTTAAACAATAGATTTGTCTTCCCCTTGGCCAATCAGAATCAAATGGTCGTATACTTGTATAGCACCTTTCTATGCTTTTACAGCACACTCAAAGCGCTTTCACATTATTCAGCCATTCACACTCCCAAGCATTCACACACCGGTGACATCACCGGGAGCAACTGGGGTTCAGTGTCTTGCTCAAGGACACCTCGACATGTTGACTGGACAAGCTGGGAATCGAACCGCTAATCCTCCGGTTAGGAAACGACCCGCTCTACCTCCTGAGCCACAGCTGCCCCATGTAATAAAACAGAAGTAGGTTTGGGCCGACTGTGGCTCAGGAGGTAGAGCAGATTTTCTCCTAACTGGAAGGTTGGCGGGTCGATTCCCAGCTTCTCCAGTCCACATGATTTGGTGATGTGATGTGAAAGTGGTTTGAATGGGCTGCGATGCACAGAGAGCCCAGATTTTGAGCCACTGATAATAAAAGAAAAACTGGAAAAGTTCAACCTCACCATACCAGAGTGTGATCTAAAGGAGGCTGGTTTGTTTTTGTTAAATAATTCTCACAGATGAGTTCTTTTGTTCACTTAAACACCTTCAAATTGTGTAATTTGCTCCCTGAAATTAATATTTTGGGCCCTCAAACCTCCAAATCATGCTTCCCCTCCTCCCTTCTTTCTTCTTCTTTCCTGAGCAGGACAGCACATTCACTAAGGTATTCCCAAAATAATGCAGTCTTGTGCTGAAGAGCCTGTGTCCACCTTAGTCCCAGATTAAAATAAAGTTGATTAAATCCGTGCAGTCTGTGGTCAGTGTGCCACTAGATCAGAGTGCTTTTATTGGATTTTATTGAATTCACAATGATGGGAAATCTGATGGCAAAAACAAATTCATGTTCATACAACAATAATATGTTTTTAAAAGTAGTAGTATTAGTAAAACTGCATTGACCCCAGAGAAGAAGAAGAAAAGGAATGGAGTAAGGCGTTGGTTGTCAGAGGCAGCGTTATGTGCATAACATGCCTTTTGTGCTATTACATGACCCCTGGGTACCATGATTCCATCTGAACATTTTTTTACTTGTGAAAATGTAGACAGTGATTCATTTTGGACTTAACCTGTGCTGGACTGTCTTTCTCTTTGCTTTATAGACTGTTTTTGCTTTTGTTGCAAAATCCCTGATTAGTTTGTCTCTTGGCCTCTACTGTCAGCTATTACAGTAGGTCTGAAACAATATATCCTTGAAAATCCTTAAAGAAATATCCCATGTAGTGCTTGTATCCATATCCATATCCATTTTTAACCTTGGGTAACTTGATTAAATGCAAGTGGAATTATTTCATAAAAATATACACTTACAATTCAACCTTAAACTTTCTAATCTTATGAATGTTTGGGGGTCAAACATGATACCAACAGGGTTCATGTTTTACTGTACATGACTGAGCATCATCTAATTTAATCTTGCGCTATACATCTTATTTTCATAAACGGGAACTGCAGTCTAAATTTGGAAGAGATAAGAGTCCCCTCAATTAATTACTTACCAGAAAAGGATGTGGTTATCAGTCTGGGACCTCTGAGGCAAATACAGAAGTGCAGCTCTGCACAAGTTTGGTTCCTGGTACCCTCCAGTATCTTGCCAGTATTTTCTGTTCCTTATTTTGACTGGATTGAACCCAGATTGGTGCAGATGTTCTTAGGCCTCCTGCAAAATGTACTGTATAAGCATTTCTCAGATCAGAATCAGGGACTAGTTATTGTAAAACTGATTGGAGAGTAGAATACTCAGAGTATTATATACAACAATGAGCTCTGTAAAAACTAGCTCTATTAAAATATAGATCCACCGGCAGCCCACTATGTTGTGGCTACACTGTGATTTGGTGTCTTGGACACTGTGGCATCTTTCTGTGTGACTTTTGCTGTCACCGAGATGTTTTCATGCCTAGACTGGCTGGGGGGGCTTGTAGCTGGTTGTTTGTCGGCCTTACTACAGTAAAGAGGTGTCGTTTGTGTTTTAACAGTGTTTTTTTAGATTCAACCGGTTCTTTTATCTGAAGGCCCCAAGAAGTAACACTCAGGAAACAGGAATCAGCTTTACGTAGATTTATTTTCTTCTGGTTAAATGCAGAGTTATTACAGCGCTGGGCTCTAAGAGATGACAAGTCTCCAAGAGCTCTGATAATAGGAAGTAATTCACATATATCTTCTCGGGCTGGGACTGCCCTGAACATGGGTGAAACTCATATTATCTTCTAATTTGTTGGCTCTACACTCACAACATGAACAGGACACGAGGTTCATACACGGTTCATACAGATATGATCTCATATTATATTCTAATTTGTTGGCTCTACACTTACAACATGAACTAGACACAAGGTTCATGCAAATCTTCTAGAATGTTTGAATAAGCAGCGTGTGTGCGTGTGTGTTGGTATTTTCAGGTGTTTCTGAAAGTAGACATGCAGTTAGCATCTTATCTATAGTTTTCAGGATGACACTTATCTCTGCAATCAATTTATGCACATTTCACCAAGAAGACAAGAAATACTACTAGAGCTAGGTTAATACTGATATATGGAGCTGCTAATGAAACACAGACAAATAGTCATACTGAACTTTTCCATTATAAAAGCAAAATAATACTGATGATAAGTAGAAAAATAACTTTAACTCCTGAAATCCAATCCTAACAGTTTGCTAATGATCTATTGATCCAGGAACAATGAATCTGTGAATAATTTGTCCTTGGATTGGTCTTATGCTGCTTTATTAAATGTTGATGTTTCTTCAGGCAATAAAGTCTCTATTCAGGTTTGGAATATCTGACTAATGCGTAGGCCTATTTGGAGATTTCCTTGAACATTTTCCATTACAGATATCATTCCACTGCAGCTAGCAGACCATGCTGTCTCCATCGTGTTGTTTTTCCTCTTCTGTCTAGAATATTTGAATACTCAAATTGAAAAGCAATTATTTACCCAACAAATGAATTTCCAAATAATTGGGTGCAGACCTAGAAAACTGTCTCCTACCAACAGCAGATGCTATGTCACATAACAGTGAACACCAAGGATTCATGAGTTTATCTTTATATCAGTATTCATCTGGTAATTTGTAATCCTAATTAAATTTGTTTCTATGAGCCCAGACAGAGCTGGTTTGATGATATAGAAATGTCTTAAGAGCAAAAAACACTAATGTTGTTGGTCAGTTAAGTCTGTCATTCATGGGGAAAAACTAATTATTCACTTTCTTACTCTCTGTTACTACCACTGCTTTTCATACCACCCTAAGTCATTGTCAGACAAGGATTCACTCACTGTGCAAATTAGACTTGTCTGGTATTAAAACCTGCAAATGAGAAACTTCCCATCCCACAGTGTCAATGTGATTAGTACCCAGAAATTGTGCAAACATAACAGTGAATGAATATAAAATACCAAGATTTTGCTTGCAGTGATGAGGCAACCTGGTTGAAAGGTTAATAAAAATAGAAGAAATAAAACCCGTATTTAGCTTATTCAGCAGAAACCCCCTGAAAAATCAAGATGCCACAATTTTTACATTTTGTTGTGTCAAGACTGGAAAGTGCAGAGTACTTCCTCTATCCACTTCCTTATTTGCTGCTTTATAACCCCAGACTTTACTCCATTCACTCTCACATCACTCTCACATCCTTGTTGGTGCTGAAAGATCAAAACAACTGCCAAGATGATGCCTAAACCACTGCTGATCCTGGCTGTTCTGACTCTCTGCTGCTGCATCACCACTCTGAATGGTAAGATTTTTTTTGTTTTTAATATTCAACCAGTAAATGGCGTAATTGCCCTATGTTTTCTTAACTTTTTTCTCAACTAACGAGACTGATTAGTCAGATTGCTTTCTCTCAGTTTAGTTTTCTTTTGTGCAACTAAGTTAATGAAACAATAAGGTGTCATCTGCATAAAATGATATTTTGTAAAGCTGGACAACATAATGTGCCTAAATATTATTAGATACTTTTTTTGTTTGTGTTTCACTAACACCAGATCTTTTTACATATTTATTGTGACATTTGGCAGTAGGCAGGCAAAAAGAAAAGAAAACACAAAGTATACTAGTTCATTTTTCTACAATGTTTCATTTTGTTAATTTTTGTTCATATTTTTTAAGTTAATTTTCTTTTTTGACTCTACTTTTCATCATTTTGTTGTAAAACACAAACTACTTATTAAAAATGCTGCTATGTGGATATTAATAAAGTAAAACACTAATCGATTTTAGTATTATAGCTGAAAATAAATGGTTACAATTTGTTGAGTGAAAAGGGGACATTTTTCACCCTGGAAACAGTTGTTTGACAAAAAAGAATCTTAACTTCAACTCCTCTTGCTCGCTTTTTCAGGAGCTTTCAACCACATTTCATGGTCTTTCTTTCTCGTGTAGTTTGCTCATATGGGCTATAGTACCAACTGTTATCACGTGACCTAAGTTTCGTACTTGCGTCATGCGATGATAAGTGAGCAAACTCCATCTGCTGAGGATGAGAGCTCCAGAAGAAGCTAACAAGTTGAAACAGAGGTTTTGTTTGTTTGTTTGTTTGTTTTATATATTTCAGATATGTAGAATCTTAATTTCATTCTTTTCCAGCTTTTTCCAGACCAGGGTGTCAGTGCTTACGGGCAACCCGCAGTCGCATCAGGAACATCAAGCAAATTGTGGTGATTCCTATTTCGGGACTCTGCCGGCAGCCTGAAATCATGTGAGTAGTAAAGAAATGTTGCAGGCCTTGTTTTGTTACAGCTGCTGCCAGGATCACATATAGTAGTTCTGACTTGTATTCTGATGGGAGTGAGGAATATTGAGCTGTGGGTGAAAGTAGTATTGCGATGCTTTACTGAAGTAACATATGGAGACACAAATTAAAAAGGGGCACCTACAGTTTAACATGTATTGTTAGTTCATTCTACCTTCAAATGTCTCACTAAAACTGAGCCTCAGATAATCCCACTAATGTATTAATAGAAGATGTATTCAGATCTTTAAAGTAAAAGTAGCAGTAACAGGGTGTTAAAAAACTCTGCAGAGACAAGTTTAATCAAACATGTGCAATGTGAGAATTTCTACACTTGTGTAAACAATGTAATTCTTCTTTTTCTCCACAGAGTCATCAGAAAGAACGGCTCTAAAATTTGTGTGGACCCACAGGCGCCTTGGCTCAACAACCTGCTCACGAATTTGCCAAAGTAATGACTTGCTTTTATTTGATCAGTGATTTGTATTGTTATACATTATGTAAAACCAAAATTGTTTCAATTTACAAATATTGATTCGATTATTAAGAAGTTACATTAGAATAGAAATAATTTGTAGAGCAAGTTGTCATTTATGTCATTAATCCACATGCATGTCAGAGCTGATTTTTGCGTTTTTAACAGTTACGTTTGGATAAAGTAAGCAATTTCAATAATTTACCTTTGGCTCAAATAGAAATGGACGTTTTTCAACAAGTTTCAGATATTTTATAAACTCAACAATTAGGCTAAAAAAAACCCAAGAATCAATAAAACATTTGTTAGTGGCTAAACAGAAGAAGTTGACTGTGCAGTGTATAGTGGTGGTCATGGGAGAAGTCTTTTGGGTTTCCTCCACTGGTTACCCTCCATCCCACTGTTGATGTTTGAAAGTGAACTGGGAACCATCAACAGTGAGCTGGGACAACAGTTGGGGAACCTGGAGACACCATCTACATTTTTGACCAAGTGCTATTTTGACACTGGAAAAGTTCAGTTAACTTCTTCTGTGTCGTTGAAAACAAAGGGAGCAAAAATTTTCTCCACCCTCTGCCATGACACATGTATTTACTGACATTTTGTTGTATCTAAAGGATTGGCTGTGACAAAGGAAGGGTTCTTTCTTGTCTTCGCCATCAGATTTTGCACTAATGGTAATAAAAAATTTGCACTTTACTAGACCCATATAATCATATAATACTGTATCCGCTCGGTTATCAAGTCATCCCTGTTCACCATACAGCACTAAACTACTGTATGTGTAGCGGTGTGAGTGCTTATTCAGCAGCACTCGGGTTTTCTAGTTGGTTTCTGAGTTACTGCTGTTCACTCCGGTCTTTAATTAATGTTTTTTGTATTTTTTATTCCAATTACAGGGAGGATGAGAACTCCAGTGGAACTGCTTTGCCGGCCACAACGGATTACTGATCAATGGCTCCATTTAAGTTTATAATAAGGTCTTAGTGCTTCTTTATATGCTTGAAGTACTGACCTTTAATAATTGTACTCAAACTGTGCTGTTTATCTTTTAAAACATGTATATTGGAGAACTAATTAAGCAAGGTAGAAACATTATTGAAATAATCCTACACATGTTCTTGAAATACTGTGAAACAAAAGTAATAATCATATAATGAACAAAAAAAAAATTAACAAAATGTGAATGCTTCTGTCCACAAGACAATTACATTTTACATGGTGCTGTAACTTCTAACATGTTTCTGTTGTATCTATGAATTGTCTTTTTTATAAAGAAATAAAGCACAGACAAAAAGCCTTTTCCAAAAACTGAAGTTTTTATTGCCTAGAGGGGTGTGAAGAGATGATACAGGTGCTGCTGAGCCTGTTTGCTTTCAACTGAAGTGTAACTGCTCTCCTATAAAACGCTGCTGTAGCCTTTGTAGTGGCCCTGATTTCATTAATGTAAACTAATTTATTGGTGTTTTGTTATTTGCTGTTTTGATCCAGGGATGAGATCAATACAGTTATTGATTAAGGGAAGAGAAGTGTCAAACAGGAGGGAGGGTTACTTTGCTAAAGGGTGGTTACTGTAAACTTTGTGGAAGAGCTGGGGGGCTTTTTAAATGGGTTTCCACCTCAGATTTATATTCTATTCCAGCTTCTCTTTAGTTGCACATATTATTTCAAGAGACTGTATTAGTAGTTATTTAAGGGGAGGGTCCACTTGGTTCACAGTTTTAGTAAAGCAGGGGGTGGGGGGTTCAGGAGCCACTGAGGCCCCAAAAATAACTAAGAAATCACTGTTAAGTGAAAACTTTTATCTCCAAAATTTCAGCTTTCTGTGAATTGAGAGAAAAAAAATCCCCCTTTGGTGAAAATTCTGGGTTGTTGACAAAACATGTCTTATTGCTGTTTTTAATGATCTCTGCATTTATTTTTATTTGCTGTTGCTTTAAGAAGCACTTTATAACTGTTGAGTAAATGATGTTAAGTTTATACCTTTACAAAGAAGCATGGAATTCTTTAACCCTATAAAACCATTTGTATCATATTTGCTACGCGAGTTTGAGCAAAAAATAATTGCCAAAATGCCCCATGTATCAAATGTGATGCAAAAAATAAAATAATATGGCACATTTATTCCTGTATGCCTGGACTGTCTGTTGATGCATAAATGGCAAATAAAAATCTTGAATCTTCTTTTGGATTTTGTTAAAAGGTTTAATAAACTTCTCACTTCCAAAAAATTTGAATGCTCTGGTTATTTTTTGATGTGTCAGGCTTTACAGGGTTAAATTATATGAACGTATGACAATTAGATTGATAGTTCTTTAGTTTATATAATGCATATTTCATCCTGTGGTTTGTACTTCTCAATTTACCTTTTACAAAAACAAACAAAAAAGGTAATTTAGTTCCTTTGATAGATGTTAAATTTTTTTGTGTACTGTTTTAGATGAGAGTGAAATGATGTATTTGCACAGGGCCTCTAAAAATGCAGAGCGGAGAACACAGCTTCACTTTTAACTTTAACTTAATTTAAATAATCATTTAATTGCAAAGTGTAGCAGCAAAAAAGGACCTCTACAAAGGCTGTATCTGTATCTGGTTTGTCCTTTTCCCTCTATTAGTCAAAGAAAATCAGCACCATCATCAACTATATGTTCAACAAACTTCCATGCTCCTTGTATGTAAACAGAAATGTAGGTCACTGTAGTTTTGCATGTTTTTGACCTTTAATTCTCAAACATGACGCATATTTGGATTTCACAACACAAAACCTGCCATGTCTAATGTTAGCAGCTCTTCACCACAAAACGGTAGGTTTTTCTTCCAAACAAGTGCTCACTGACTGCTACCTCCTGCCTGAGGTGGGGGTGGGAGCATGGAAAACCAGTGTGGTGAAGAGCTGTGGTCTGGAAGCTGAAACTTAATACTGTTATGCAGAACAAGTGTAACTGCAGTTCTTTAAAATCCTTTTGAGAACTAATGTAGCACCTTCACTGGTGACTGCTGGTGGGCATCCTCATCCAGTTACATTTCACTTGCTGTGCATGAATAAAAGAGGTCTGCTCAATAACAACCAGGCATTATTGACTGGTGTCATATTGCCTGAATAACAGTTTCGGAGGAAAGACAGGAAACTGAAAGTTTGAAAGTCAAACCAAGTAAGGCTTTTGAAAGTGTTTTGACACCACACTTGCAGCTTTTCTGCTTTGTAGTCCAAATCTTATGGTATCATCATTTTCTAATGTCCTGATTTCAGAAAACTAACATGTGCGCTAACCTGTGAGCAGTATTGTATATGAACAAAAACAATGTTTACCAGCTCAGGTCAAATTTTGACTAATCTCAATTTTATCCAATTTCTTTTTGTTGTGTTTCAGAATTATTTTTCCTTCTCATTATTTTCAGGGTAATACATTAGGAAGAAAACACTTCTGCAGTACCGTTAAAGCTCCTGTTTTCCAGTTTGAATGCAGCAGCAACCTGGCCAAGTTGGTGGCCTTCAAATTCAGCATGTTAGAGCAAATTAAAAACAACAAACTCTTCATCCAAATGCTAAACACTTTGTCAGATAAACCTCGAGTGAACATGCCGACTAATAACCTCAGTGACTAAACTGCTGTAAAATCAGCCTGAGTGAGCTTAACAATGGAAGCAAAATAAAACCAAACAAACCAGGGCCAGATATTTTACAACAGGATGTTTACATTCAGAAACTGCATGCAGTGATGGTCATGATAATCCTGTGAAAGATACAGCAACTTCTTTACAGAGAAAAGACCGACTCACAATGAGAGTAGTCTGGTAGAAATCACTGACAACTGAGGAGGATTTGTCCTTGACGTTACAGATAGAAATGATGTTTGATAAAAAAAAGATGGAAAACAATCAGAGGTCAGCAGTGGTTCCTCAGTTTCAATTCCTCATGATCTCATCCCCAAAGCTGGTTCAGGAACGATGGGAGGGATGAAAGGATGGAGAGATGATTGGCTGGATTATAGTGCTGGATTATTCTCTGAGCGTCTTTTTCTCATGGGCAGTGCTGCTGTTGGAGAAGTTGTACAAACTAGGCACGTTGTTTGTAGAAAAAATATGAGAGGTGGGCTCTTAGAGATGAAATTAACAGATCAAATGCTTACAGGTAATGATAAATGGATATTATTGTGGCATATGTAAAAGAAGTGGCTGAGGTTGTTGGATGATGTGTGTGATGAAATGTGAAAAGGATCTGGAAAACCACTTTTGGGAAAACTCAAAAGTAAAGCGTCAAATAGAAAGAGATGAAAACCACAATAATTTTGATTAAGCATCATGTCAGAGACTGAACATCTTTGAAATGATGCTTAAATGCATACTGCGGAAATAAAAGCAAACAAGGCAACTGCTTTCAAACCTCAAACATTTATCTTTTTTCTCAAAAACTTGGTAATACTGAATTGTACAAAGTACCAATTGAAGGACTGCATCTTAGCAAGAGACAGAAAATGCCCAAGGATCAAAAACAAAGTTGGGCAAAGACATTTTGTCTCTACATGAGCATCAGAGACATGTGGAGGTGGTATTCACATATGAGACCCTAGAACATCAGGCAAAGAAAACAAGTACAAGTACATCTTTGATTCGTGAGAAAAAAAATCTGGAGAATGGTACATTCCCTTCCAAGATGTGAGCGATGCCCCGTTATCAAAGACAGTTTAATTTATTATATCTCTTGTACAAAATAAGAAAACCCTGTAAGGTGAGTTCAGGAGTGAAGTATAGGCCTCAAAATGCTCACAAAGAACAACTCCCCAGAAGTGGAGGCGTATTCGTGAGCGTCAGATCATGTGCAACTGAAGCAAAGTCGATACCGCTCGTCCTCATTGGCTAAACTGGTCTGACTGCGGTTTAAAGCTGAGGTTACCTGGTGCCATGTGGTGCTGACACCATGTATCGCTAAATAATTATTTTAAGGCTTTTCATTTCAAATACTGAACAGAGTACATGATTTGACTAATTTAACTAATTCAGTCTCAAGGCCGGGGTTTACTGCCCCCTACAGTGTGGAATGTGCCGGATATGTTAAACACTGAGTGTATGTGTAGTGTCCCGCTGCGTAGATAGAGCTGGGTATCAAACTGCAGCATTTTATTTATTTTTGTACCAAAGTATCAAGCACTCAGAGCTCAAACTGGGTAACTAATCATTAAACTACTTCTGTAATCAACGGTTCCTCATTTAAATTGTAACTTTTATCAAATTTCGACTGCATTTTATTTTAAGCATAGCAGTCATATGGCTGGCTGAGATTTGATTAGCGATTCCCACCCTTTTTCTGTAACTGACTTTCTCTTTTACAAATTTGACTGATGTCTGACTCAAACCAATCAAACATTAAAGAAAATTCCCAAATATAAACATAATTGAAATTTTTCTACCTCCTTATCTCATGACCCTATGTGTGTCCCAAGCCAAAGGTTTGGTTTTTAGATGACATTAAACATTTCTGACATTTGGCCCCTTTTTGTAAAGAACAAACAGGTTTTTGTAGCTCAATGTATTTCTCAAGCATTTTAAGACAAGAATGGCAAAAAAATTATCATTTTTGTATAGGTAATGACACTCGGGTACTGTGTCATATTGGTGCTAGTATTGATACCCAGTCTTACCACTGCATCAGTCATCCTGCCAGTCTGTGTTCGAGCCTCTCTTAAAAGCCTTATACAAAACCAAACTAAAACTATCAACAGGTTTTGCACCTTCTGATGATTCAAAAATTTGACAATTTTGAAGTTCCCATGTTATTTTTTGGGGACTGGAGTAAAAGTAAAGCAGTGGTTTTATCAAAAATGGACAAGAGATGTGGGACTTCTACAACAACAGCTATAACAATATATATGTATATGAGTACATATATTACCTGTGCTTATATAGAGTTTTCAGGACAATAGCTCCCTGTTTGGTTTTTCTCATACAGTGCGACTCTGACAGAGGTACTGCTGAATGCATAGCACAGTCCTGAGTTGCAACCTACATAAAGGGCTATTTGTTCCAACTGTCCAACACAACAATGCAGGGTTTGGATTCCACGGGAATCTGGCATTAAGAGGCTCCAAGAACTAATTTCATAGTTAGCACCTGGTAAATACATTCAGCTCCTAGTCACAAATCAATAGCAGATCCTTCTCAGAAGTCTTCCCTCTGGCACGTTAAATAAACATTATCTTATTACTGACAAAACAGATTCTTTGGCTAGCCAGGTGAGGGGAAAAACAGGCCAGTACTCTTAAGACTAGGCGTTCAAAAGCTAAAAGTCTAAAGCACATTGTAGGTCAATGCCAAGATTGTGCTACAAATATGACTTTTTCAGAGCAAGTCAAAGAGTATGGGTGTAAAATGGCTGCACTGCTTACAAAATTGTGGGATTGGAGCACTCATTTGGCCTGACTGGTTTTATTATTTCACAGTGCGGCAAAAAACTCACTAGTTGATTATTTTAAACTGTAGTGAGGATGACTCACCCAAGACTCCATTTCAGGCTGAGATTTGTCAGTTTTTTAAAAATTGGATCAGGTAACACAATCTGACATGATACGAAAATGTCATCAAGAAATATCTGATAAGACAAACAACGATGTGAGAGATTACTCATTATTTTCAGCAAGGCATGCGTCAGACCTGAAAGCCCCGTCAAACACGATCAACATCAGTCATCAGCGGTGCTGTGACCAAAGACAAAATACCAAAAAAGACACAGTGATTTCCTGCCCTAGAGTCCAAATGAAACACACCAATTTAGTGTTACAATATTACATTAATTTTAAAAACACCTAAATTATACTTTTAACCTTAAAAATTGCAGGTAATTATTTGTATTTTTGGCTGATCAGAATTTAAAATACTTATGTTTTTACATAAATTACTGATGTAATCAAACCTTCCATGTCCTCGTGCAGCTCGCAACTTAGTTTTGTTTGTAGTGCTCCTGTTTGTATTAAAATACATTAATGTGAGCGATAGCAGGTTCCCAGTGACTGAGTTTTAACACAACATACTTGTTGTGGAGCAGGATGAATATTCTGTTGTGTTTTTACTCAAAAGAATATTTCACAGCTGCTGACATTTGTGTAGTATACTTATCTAAAAATCGATAGTATTTGTGAAGGTTTGTTGTTGTGGGAGCTGAATATAGACGTGACCGTGATCATATCTAAGACCAAAACATCCTGACATGAGGGGTCACCATATTAACGTCATCCCAAGCTCAACATTTGGTATCTAGCCTTTTCAAGGGGAGAAAAGATAAGACAAACATATACAGTGTGCAAAAACACAAAAGGGAGCAATGAATGTGGCAAATACTTCACTCCTTTTGGGTAGGTGTGCCTTAGCAGTGGTAGTGGGGTCTGAGTTTTAACATGATCGGTAAACTGTACAGGGTCCTGTATAAAGCTGAGGTTGGGGAAACAGTGTAAAAGGTGGGGAGGTGGGGCAAGAAGGGTGGGCAGGACTCCCTCAGGCTGCACTACCTGTGGACCGTCAGGTGCAGCCCGTTGAGCCCTGGATTGAGTGGGTGGGGCAGGGGAGGGTGCAGTTCCAGCTGGGCCAGCAGGGAGAAGTGGTCCGAGGGGATGTGGGGGTGGGGGCAGCCAGTGATGTTGTTGTCAATCAGCCACTGACTGTCCAGCGGTCCCAGCAGGCCCAGGACACTCATGTGGGTCTTGGAGAAGAAGATGTAGTCGATTACGCCCTGGAGACACAAAGACATCATGTGATATCAAGTTAGGGCTGGGCATCCGACTTCAGCATGTTTCGAGTTGTGATGAAGGGGTTCCCCTGTGCTGCCAGTTTTTGTGGTTAGCTGCTGGCAGCTAGGTAGCGACATATTAAGTGTACAGCTACAGGAGTGGTATTGAACTTCTCACGGAAATCTCAGCAAGAAAAGCAAAAAAGTGCTTTTCCCAAAAGGTCAAAATATTCCCTTAATGCAAAGCAGCGGTTCCACAATGTTGCTATTATACAGTACTGAATGATGCCCCTGGCACAGTGTCGGTCTCTGTTTAGAGGAAGTAGGGGCTGCTCCTCTCTCACACACACAGTCAGCTGTGTTTACACTAGGTGCTTGTAATGCTTGAGGTGTGAAGATGCAGATGTTTAACCACTCACTGGCGACTGCTATGTGAGCGCATACCCTTTCCTCCCCTTATGGTCCTGGTACTTGATTTTAGTACTACCTCCTGCAGGGTGCTGAAATTTAGCTCCCAGAATGCACCTCCAAAACGGACGCACTCTAGTGGAAACAAACGCAGAACCTGTGACGACCATTACTCAGCCTGACACATTTTGGTATTTTCCTGTAATGGAAAAACCCCTATTTGCTGCTTAGGTACTGTAGTGATATGAGTACTAATATGATTAACTTGCAACATGGATATTTTTGTCACATTAATGATCTCGACTCATTTCGTTCTGCCTTTGACGCCATTAATTAGTCACCCAAGGAGTTAATTCATTTATACTATTGTAAACAACTAGAATCTCAGAGACTGTGCATCTGTAGAGGCAATAAAATAGTTCAAGGAAAATTGAACCTTGACACAAAAAAAGGATTCTTTGTTCATGAACATCCAAAAAACATCTTGAGAGGAGAGCTCTGTGTTTCTCTAAGAACTTTTGCATGTTAAAGGTTTGGTTAAGACCGGTGGGAAAGTCCTTTGGCTACAAGGAGCCAAAAGGAAAAAAATAAAAATCTGTGACATCTGCCTGAATGACTCATTCAGAGTAGAAACCACAAACTGTAAAGCAAATTCAAATACATATTCTCCCACCAACACATCTAAAATAGCTTAAGAAAGTTGTGCCGTGTTGTGTAGAGCTCATGTGGGTCAAGGAATGGAGTACCTCTGATGCAGCAGTGTTCAGGGTTTTCCATTCCTACTGCAACCGCCCACAAGTTTAAAAAAAAAAAAGTCAATGATAAAAACCAGTCCACATACAGTTGCAAGAAAAAGTCGTGGTCATGAAATGTGATCCTCACCAAGGTCACCAGTATCAACAAACACAATATTTCTAACCTAATAAAACACAAGCAGTCCTGATCTTTCATGTCTTTATCGAACACAAGATCAGATCACATTTTCGATTTATGCAGAAAACCAGGAAATTTGCAAGACAGTGCCATGACTTTTTCTTGTGACTGTAAAAGAATTTGCCTTAGGGCTGCAATATAAACACCCCATCACATCAGCTAGATTTGGGTTTTTAATCACTAGTGTGTGTCCTTTAACCTAATGATCAACTAGACAAAAGGTTGCAACTACTGTATATTCTAGTCAAATTCAAAATGCCACTGTACTAAGTTCGTAGTGTGGCAAAAACAGGGTCAGAGATATTATGGATTTGGTGCTAATCATTCATTTTTGTTTTGGGTTGAGAAGTTTAGCTGATGCTTGGTATGATCACAGGACAGAAGTTGTGTATTTAATTTTACTACGTTGAATTGGTAGATTTGACCTCATGCAACACCCAGCTCCTACATTATCCAACTAGGATCAGAGGCCTAACTAGCTTGGGGTCATTGGGCTTCACTGAGCCCAACACTGGACGTCCTGGATAACATCTGGGTTGTGTTGTCAACCTGTGAGCATGTTCATGTGAAAGAGGTGGAGTTGTTGATTAGAGCGGACAGTGTAGGGGAGTTACACCTGAAGTCCATTTCATTGGTATCACCGTTTATAGTTGTAGGAAATATTGAACAGTGTATGGATTTTCTAATAAAAGACCATCAACACAGAATCTCCTCATATTATTCTGAGCTGCAGTGATGGAAGCGTTGATCACAATGTAGGTCATAGACTCTCTCTGTTTGTTAGAAACTCAGCTTTAAACCACAGTGACCCATAAAAGCTTGACACAGCACAATGATGACTGTGCAAGGCATAGAGCAGGTTTCTACCTTGAAGTCGTACGTGTAGTTGGTGTAAGGCATCAGATTGCTGTCGTAGGCGCTTTTCAGCTGGAAGCTGTGCGTGATGCTTCCATCTGAGTTGCCATTCTTGCCGTTGCAGCTGAAATTGGTCAGACATTCGTTGTAGCGTAGCTCTTTAAAGTCCTTATGGTTCTCGGCTACTCCTCCGTTGCTCAGGTATTCCACTACACCTGGATCACACAAAGTAAATTGTCATTGTAAAGGTGCACTACATTTATCCTGAACATTTCATAAAACCCCCAAAATTCTCCCTGAATCTATTATGTGATTATTTTCTGAAAATCAAGGTGCTGATTAGTGTGCAAGTATTCTTGCTCAGCTGTAATGCACATTAAGTCCTAAAAAATTAAATATTTCAAACATGTTTTTGTCTTGAAGAAAACAAAATGGTTGGTCACGTTAACCAGAGATGACACCCTAATAACAACATACAAAACTAACTTCGCAGCAGAATAAACTGAGGAGGACTAAGAGACTGAAATGTTAACAGAGGTTCCTGCAAAGAGAGGCAGTTCTACCAGAGTCAGGCAACGAGTTGAGGTCAGCACACAAGACGATGGGGATGGAGGACGGGTCGGACGTTGGCGAGCCAGTCACCATGGAGCCCGAAGCCCTCTCAGTGATGCTCTTCAGCTCCGACAGGAACATCATGGTTTGGATCAACTTGACGTCCGAATACTCGGGGTCCCAGTGCATGTGGGCGTTGGCCACCAGCATCAGCTGCCTCTCCTGTGGTAGCTTCATACCTTAGTACAGAGAAGAAACACCTGGATTATGTTGGCGAATGGCAGCCAATGAAGGCGTACAAAAAAATGATGAAATGAGGCCCAGTGTAACAGCACAAAGACAAAAAGGCTAAAACGTTTAGAAATGAAAGTGTTTAAGAGAGATAGAATAACTCTAAAAGGAATTATTAAAATGTTAAAACCTAAAAGAAATGTGAAAACCTCAGTTATAACCAGAATGTGATCTGAGTGAAATTGGTTTACTGTACATGTCAAACACAAGGAGCAAAACTCCTCACTGCAAAGCTTTATGAATGAACTGACCAGTAAACAAACCGTAGCAGAACAGATTTATGAAACAGATGACATCTGAGCAGGAAACAAACTGTTTTGGTGCATCTTGCAATCATGAATGTTCCAGAATACACCACTAATGAGAGCATTCTGTAGACTTTTTACAAAGTATCGCCCTCTTCTCTGGCATTATCCTGAACTTTGAAGTCTGATAGACTTATTCATTTCTAATCAAGTCAAGTGGTGACACCTGCTGTCAAGAATTGCCATTGCAGCCTTTTCTTGTTCTGTATTTGTCAAACATGTCAGTTTGGATTGTCTCCGGGTAGCTGACTACAGTTTCACTGATTCACTGAGTTTCTGGCACGTTTTTGCTACAGGGCATGTTTGATTCGTTTCTGGCACGTTTTTGCTACAGGGCAACCATACAGAGCTGAAACCATCAATGAATTCATCATGGAACCTTGTGCTAGGAAATTATTATGGTCATTTTTCACTATTTTCTCATGTTTTTCTGAGGGATCAATTAATCAGTTGTTTGCTTTAAAATGACTGGCACATTAACTGATCATGAAAACAACTGGCAGTTGTAGCTTTACTACCCTGGATCTATGTATGTATTACACAAAATACATATGGTCTTTTTATTTTCGCAGTTTCCTGAAAAGATCAAGTTTTACAAAAGATCACAAGTATACAGGTCAAGTTAATCCTTGCATTTCATTATGATTTGATTCCAACTCCCGTGGACCTTAGTCAGTTTCTGGCAGACAGTCACTGACACAACACCAGCAGTTTGTGAGAAATGCTGGTACACAAGAAAAACTCCCGGTACACCAAACGTAGAAGTGCCAGTACTGTGCACCAGTGTGTAGCGGCCCACTTCGTGTACTGGTCTAGGAAGAGGGAACAAGGGATAGTAACATAACATCCTCTGACTTGGGTGATGTTCTTACCACCGGAGAACATGTCCTTGTTGACCTCGAGCAGAACGGCCACCCCAATGTTGTCTTTGGTCATCACTCTGTTCAGCATGACCTCTGAGCCCTCTGAGTTGGCCATGGCCACCTGGTTGAACTCCACAGTGTGTTTCTGGACCAAAGTAAACCTGCACAAACATCCACAAAGTAGCATAAATATGGAGGACTTTGAAAACCTGCACCTAAATTTCAGATGTGGTCAAAGTCATCTATGTAAACATTCTGGGTATGCAACCAATACAAAAACCCTCAAATGCATGAAAAGCAGATTCAGTAATATAACAAGTAAAGCTCTTAAACTCACTTCTCAGTCTTGAAGAACACAGCGCAGCCATCCACGTGTTTTCTCTCCTGTTCAGAAACCAGTTTGGCACGAGACTTTGGACAGAAGTAGCCGTCGTAGCCGCGCTCCTTTAGTGTTTCCAGAAACAAGGCATAGTACTGCTCTGTCTCCACCTCCTGCAGACACGGGGCGAGATAGAGCAAATGAACGATCTTTGTAAAGAGCGATCATCAGTGAGACGTAAGTGGAAAATATAACTGACTGGTTTACACATTAGTGTATTCATTAGATTCCACATTAAAAACAAGATTCCTGTCATACATTAATGACAAAAAATCTCTCATTTCTATAACCTATTTCAAAGATGAATTCGGAGCTTTGTCCAAGCCTACGTAGGACATAGCTGTAAAGAACTTTCCGTTTTGATGCTGTTTATTTCCAACCAGCTAAACAACATGATTTCCAGTAAACCATGGCCCCACACTTCCATAAGATAAAAGATACTTTAGTGTTTTCAAGGGGAAATTGATCTTGGCCACAACTACTACACACAACTGCACATTTTCTATTCGGCTTCTAGATTTTCAGAAACTCAGTCTATGAAAACTCCAGATTTCCTTGACCAGGAGAGTTTTCTGAAACGTGCAGGTAGCTTCTAAGTTAATTAAAGATGTGGTAAATGTTGAAAGCAATATTAACTGCAAATAAGGGCCTCTCCAGCCATTGGAAAACAAACATAGTTCCCTAGCCTAAAAGTTGGAACCTAAACCAAGGACAGTTAATCACTAATATGTGTCTGTTCATTTACTTCAGCAGACAGTGGCTTGGCTGTGCTGAAGGAGAACAGTGCATCGGGGTGAGCAGTCAATAGCAGCTGTGCAGACAGTACATTCTGATCATTACAGCACTGAAGAGACTGAACAGTTCAACAGATCAGCCTCACTCTGCTGGAGCTGAGTGAATCATCCTCGCTTGGTCATTAGAAGTCAGTGCAGGGGCAGATGGTGGGCAGAGACCTTCTCAGTATAGGTCATCAGTGAGCTACAGCAAGACTGTAAACTGCTACGATCAAATCATAGCCAGTCAAAAGCAGGCTGTGCTTAGTAGAGTTACCCTTTATTTTGGACCCTGACCCTGAAAGCTACACAGTCTCTCCTCTACTGTACAAAGTTATCAAACAGGCATGGATTCTGTGTGGTCCAATGATGCATTGACAGTTTTTAGCCGTGCTCTAGACATGGTCATGTTGGTCAGCCGGTCCACACTGAAATATCTGAACAGTTATTAGAGGGACTGCCATCACGTTCTATACAGACATCTGTTATCACCACAGGAGAAATCTGTTACTGTAGCATCACCTGCAGATTAACATCTACTGGACGGATTTTGTCCTGTGGTTCCACGTTGATGAATCCTAATGAGTTTAGTGAAACACACACACACACACACTTTTCCTGTAACAGTATCATCCGCTCAAAATGTTAAACTGTCCCATACTTTGGTTTATGACAAAACATTTACAAAGCTAGTGACCTCCCCTTCAGTCTCAGCTATAATTTATGTTTTGTGCTAGTTAGCTAATGTTAGCATGCTAACAATGTACATTAAACTGGTGAATGTTTCATTGGCTTAACATCAGCATTTTAACATTGCCCTTGTGAGCATGTTATTATTTAGCTCAAAACGCGAGTACAAGCTGATACAAGCTGATAGAGACACCAACATGGCTGTAGATTTGTAAACTGGTTTACACTATAGCTGACTTTTTTCAAAACACATCATGACATGAAGTAAGGTTGTGAAATGTGAGTGAAAAGTGTCATAAATCTCATCCCTGAGAAAAAAGAAAGCAACTATTTCTGACTGTGCAAAGATGAGCATAGAATTTAAAATACATGCACCAAAGACGTGACAAGCAACCGATATGATTTCAGAAAAAGTATGTAGTCAACTACCACAAACAACACTTATTAGAGGAATGACAGTGCAGAAACACTGATTTTGTCCAGTCCAAATGTAGAAAAACATCCATGATCTTGTCCAGTCCAAATGTAGAAAAACATCTACAAAGTTCATGTTTATTGCTCCCATTATTATTGTGCAATCCATAGACATGTGAGATAGTAACCTGTAAAGGTCACACCTGGTTCAAACAGCGAGGAGCCTTCGTTTACCTGCAGGCTGATGATGTCAGCGTCACAGTTGGTGATTTCCTCCATGATGCCTTTCTTGCGGTACTCCCAGTTGAGGGCCCAGGACGGACAGTAGCCGTACAGCTGTCGCGTGGCGTACTTGTCACACAGCACATTGTAGCACATGACTGTGAACATGGCTGCAGGAGAAGAAAAACCAAAACAAAAGACGTTGGAGAGAGCATGAAAAACACCAAATGATTATCATTAAATGTTGTGTAGTAGTGTGTGAGTTTTTAGAACAGCAAATCTAAATGTGTTAATGTAGTGAGGTCATCATTCAGCCTCAGTCAGACACAGTACTGTGTCGGTTTCTGTATTTATTAATGTGATTTTTTACAAAGAATTTTTATGCACTTTTTGTACTTTGGATGAAACTGGACTGAATCTTACTCCGCACATCTCTGCTCCTCATTAGCTGATTTGATTTTAAACTTGCTCTACGTCATGACAGGGAAGTTGAGGGGCGGAAATGAAATTCAGTTCTATTTTATTTGTATAGCATCAGTTCACAACAACATAATGAGGTCTAGACCTTACACTATTATAAGGAAAACCCAACAAACCCCCTTGAGCAGCACTTGGTGACAGCAAGGAGGAAAAACTCCCTTTAACGGAAGAAGCTGCTGTTCATATACATCATCTCTCTAAAACAGCCCTTTGGACTAGTGCTGTTCAACTGTGCTCTGTAAATAAAGAGTCAAGTGACTGAGATTGATGCTACTGGACAGCACACCAGCCAAATAGAACTCGACACCTCTTACGTTACTGCTCCTATAGGAGTGTTATTTTTGTTTGACACAGGTTTTTTTTTTCCTCCCTGTTGTTGTACTCGGTACTTTTTAACCATACTGACTCTGAGAGACGAGGCAGTCCAAGTAACTACAAAACAGTGCTGATTTATTCCATGAACACAGGTAAA